AACGCTTAATGATGCATTCTCTTATAAGTTCTTAAATGAAACTCATTAATGATATTATTTGCATATAACCTTATTTTAACAAGGCATAGAGTTTCATCCCTTAAAAAAAGTTAAGACTAAGATTATTAAAATTAAAATTAATTCCAATTAAATTAAATAAAAAAAATATATTTTTACAATAATTAATTTAGTATTACATTAAAAAGTTGTGTGTTTTTATTTTAAATAATAAATAATATTAAATATAACCACAGGAAGTTGTACATCATGCAATTCAACATCTAAGAAAAAGCATAAGAGAAAGTTGAAGAAACATTTCATTTCATAGGTAAAGTTGTATACAATACTAGGTTACATCAAATCCAAGAAACTAAAGCCCAAAACGACCTCCAGAACAACACCAAATAAAGCTAACTACATAATCAAACACCCACGAAATATAATAATTAACTTCATAAAATAATAAGTAGCGCATTCATGATTTTTCCATGTGGAAATCCTTAAACCATATGGGCTATTCGCCAACCGTGACTGCTCTACCTGTCCGGAATAGGTACATAGCCCGGACAACATGACACTGTCTGTGATCCTAACAGTGGGGTGTGAAACTTCGCTTATCTCTTCTTTTGTTTCGGACATCCCTTTTATCAGGTTGTGGGATGTGCTTCTTGGATGGCTCTGCTGCTCCGGATACTGGAGGGCGAATGAGCTGTGGTTTCAGCCATTGAGGGGAACGTACACTATCGTAATGGTGAACTATATATCGATATAATTCATAAGAGGAGCATGGTTTGATAATGCAAGCAATATGCAGTTGTTAAGTAGTCGGCCAGCCATCGCGGGTTGTTCACCCAAGCACGGATTCTCCGTGCCACCTGATGCTATGTGTTGTTGCCGGCTGTTATGGGTGCTTCTAAGGCTTCACAAATCAAACAGTTTGGATTGAAATGTATCCTAGAAAGGCGAGCATGTATCTGTTTGACAGGCTGAACTGAAGAAATTGAAGTAGCAGCACGAAATCGGCTGCTGAAAGTGAATTGATCTGGTTGAGCATAAGAAACCGTCATTCTGAGATTCAGGCTAACTTATCGGATCATGGCAGTGATATAAGATGTATAACTTGTTGATTCAAGCTGGTGGGCGGGCCATTCATTGTCAAAAATAAGAAGTAGCTCTTCCCGTGTTATAAGGTGAAATCGGGGATCTGGAAAGATGTTCGGAGGCTATGAAGGGAGGGGTTGTTTAGAACTGATCCATCGCACTTTAATGCCATCAATCGATATTTGGATAGATGAAATCGATGGACAGTTCCCATCTGCTTGCGATGGCTGGCCGGCTACTTAACAGCTACATCTTGCTTGCACTATCCAACCATGCTCATCTTATGAATTATGTATATATATAGTTCACCATTACGATAGTGTACATAACCACCCCCTCTCTCTCTCTCTACGCCACAATGGCTGAAAACACAGCTCAATCGCCCTCAAGTATACGAAGCAGAAAGCAGAGCCATCCAAGAAGCGCATTCCACAACCCGATAAAAGAGATGCTGGAAACAAATGAAGAGATAAGCGAAGTTTCACACCCCACTGTTAGGAGCACAGACATTGTCATGTTAGGATGGGGGAGAGCAGTCACGACATTAACTATAATTTCTGCAAATTGTTTCAATCAATAGATTTTATTCTATCATATTTCACAATAAA